TATTTGTTTTTGTAGATTTTCATGGGTACAGGTATGTAGGTCTAGGTATGTTTGGGTCTTTTCCCGTGTAAGATTAAGAGTATCTTGGCAACGTTTCGGCGAGGTCCCACTCACCATCCTCAGGCTTGCACTGGCATGAAACCGAAAGCACCAGACTGAGGATGGCAAGTGGGACCTCGTCGAAACATTGCCAAGATACTCTTAATCTTACACGGGAAAAGACCCAAACACACCTAGACCTACATATATATATTTCCTCATTTTGTCGAGGTCCCACTCGCCATCCTCAGGCTGGTGCTTTCGGCTTCGTGCCAGTGCAAGCAGTCTGTGATCAGAGCTGCCGTCTCTCTATAAATACTGGTGGTGGGGGCTGGTGTGCTGCGCTGGTTGGCTACGCTGCTGCCTCTTGATTGGTTGATGGAGTTGATGTTGGTATAATGGGCTGTGTGATGGCCTTGTGAGTTTTGTTGTGGAGATATCCTGGATCTTGTGCTGTAATCTCCTGGGTTGTTTGTTTTGTAGTGATCTTTTTTCCATTAGCCTCTCGTGTTTTAACGGCTTGGGTAATGGGTTGTGTGATGGCCTTGCGAGTTCTTTTGTTGTGGTCTCCTGGGTCCTGTTTTGTAATCTCCTGGGTCGTATGTGTTTTGATCTCTTTTCCATTAGCCTCCTGTGTTGTAACGGCTTGGGTAATGGGTTGTGTGATGACCTTGTGAGTTTTATTGCTGTGGTATCCTTGGTCTTGTGCTGTGATTTCCTGGGTCGTTTGCTGTGTTGCAACTTCTTGAGTTCTTGCAGTGCAATTTCCTGAGTTTTCTGATGTAAAAACCAACACCAGACCCAAAACAACATGGGACACTACCGCCAATCCCCCTAACCAGACCCAGGCCCAAACCCATCCTATAAATGAAGGACAACCACCGTCCAGAAACAAGACCATGGCTGCTTCACCAGCTGTCGCACCCCGACCCCAAAAGCAAACAAGCTGACACACACCAAGAATACAGACCCAGACCCCAAACTCGAAGCCAGACCAAAACCCAGAATGCTATATCACAGCCACCCGCTCAGGATATCACATCAGAAAACTCAGGAAAGGTGCTTTCGGCTTCATGCCAGTGCAAGCAGTGCGTGATCAGAGCTGCCGTCTCTCTAGAAATACTGGGGGAGGGGGGGGCTGGTGTGCTGGGCTGGTTGGCCTTTGATGTAGGGGAGGAAACCCTCCCCTCCACAAACACAATATCAGGACAGCCTTCAGCACTGACCAAAAAATAGCCAACATCCTAAGAAACCCCAAAGACAAGATCCAGCTAGCAAACCAAGGCATTTATGAAATACCATGCAACAATTGCCCAGGCACATACATTGGACAAACCAACAGGAAAATATAATGCACGCATTGCAGAACACAAAAACGCAGTCAGAAGAGAAGAAAATACTTCCTCCCTCTTCCAGCACCTTAAAGCCACAGGACATGAAATTAATTTCGAAGGAACCAAATTAATATCCAACACTGAACACTCCAGCAAGAGAAAAATCAGGGAAGCCATCGAGATAGAGAAACACCTCCATAACATGAATAGACGGGATGATACCTCCCACCTACCAGACATCTGGAAGCTAACCCTCACCAACAAACGAGTCCCAACCACGAAAACCAACAGCAGATCCAAAACAACATGGGACACCACTGCCAATCCCCCTCATCAGACCCAGGCCCAAGCCCACACTATAAAGGAAGGACAACCAACATCCAGAAAACAGACTACGGCTGCTTCGCCAGCTGTTGCACCCCCGACCCCAAAAGCAAACAAGCTGACACATGCCAAGAACACAGACCCAGACCCCAAACTCGAAGCCAGACTAAAACCCAGAATGCTATATCACAGCCACCCGCTCAGGATATCACATCAGAAAACTCAGGAAATTACACCACAAGAACTCAAGAAGTTGCAACACAGCAAATGACCCAGGATATCACAGCACAAGACCAAGGATACCACAGCAATAAATCTCACAAGGTCATCACACAACCCATTACCCAAGCTGTTACTACACAGGAGGCTAATGGAAAAGAGATCAAAATACAAACGACCCAGGAGATTACAACGCAGGACCCAGGAGACCACAACAAAAGAACTTGCAAGGCCATCACACAACCCATTACCCGCCGTTAAAACACGAAAGGCTAATGGAAAAAAGA